TCCATAAAGGGAAAGGGAAGCTGCTCATTATCTCAGACTACAACAAAAGCATCAAGGAGAGAATTAGATAGGCCAAAGTACACATGTCCTGTTGGATCCATTCCCAAAGAATTAGCATTTACAATGAGCTTTTTAAAGAGAAAGTTAAAATTCCTCAGGGCTTGACTAAGCCCTTGCAAAAATCATGGAAGTTCATTATAGAAACACCTTCTACATCACCTGCCAAAACAAATAAAACCTATTTTTGAATAATACAGCTCTGATACCAAGTCCTCAGGTGCTTTGGTTTGTCTGTGCTCCTGAAGTCTATGGAAGGTGATCTGAGGTCAACAGTGCTCAAAGGCTGGCTGTGCATGACCACAATAAATGGTGAGAGCAGCTCAACTGCTCCTCGAGGTTGCTGGGAACCAGCAGTTTGTAACCTTTCACAGCCCTCTCACTGTTTCAGTTTTGTGCCTGGAAAGCCAACCAGGTATTCCCCCAGCTCCCTGGGAGGGAACCACAGCACACCCATGCTTGGTGGTGAACCCACTGAGATAAATCACTGCTGACCCATGTTTGCATGACACTGTTCCTGCAAAAACTCCCTCTCTAAGGCTCTTCAAGGCTTCTCTGAGAAACTTGCAGTGTAATCAGAGCCATGCAGCCACTCTGTCATCAGCACCCTGTCCCACCAGCCACCAGCTCCAGCTATTATGGTTGATGATCTTCCCTTCTCCACGAGTGAGAAGTTGTGGCCAAGTACACACAGGACAGTTCAGACCACCTGCAGTCACTTGTGTTTGCTTTCCACTGGTTCTTTCCACTGGGCATTCCCCAGCACTGCATTGCTCTGCACCTTCCCAGAGTTATCAATCCCACTTTGATTTCCTGCCATTCATCCTGATGTTCCCTTGTGCAGCTAAGGGCTCAGAATTCCTACAGAACTAGGAGAAACTTTGGCTCCAGCTGCCAAGAAGCTGTGAGAGAGAACATGTGGGAACTATTCAGCCCTGACAGCAGCAACGTGACTTTGTGAGCTCAGACTAAGCCCAAATTAGTTCAGATGGACACCATGAAGAGCAGATCCCTCTGCCTGTCCCCACACACAAGTTTCTCCCAAACATCTCTTTCTGGTATGTTTTAAATTGTTATTATATACTTCTGGCAATCATTAATAACTGTGGCATCTTCTTCTCTTCCTCAGTGTGGGGGTGTGGACACAAGTTGTGGAATAAAGGAAGAGGAGTGGGATGATGCTTATGTTGGTTCTGGTCCTCTGGGTGGTCTCCTTCAGTGCTGTTCCTTCCTTCACTCCATTTGTTTTCATACTGACTGAGCATGGGCAGGAGTTTTTCAGGAGGGAGTAGATGGATTTCTTTACACAGATGGTTTCTGCAAGGCTTCTCTAGAGAGAATTCCCACCAAAGGCACAGGAATCTGGTTAACAAAGTCTGCGGGATCAGACTCACACCCACAGGGACTAAATCATAGAGATTTCAATGGAAAACATGGTAAAAATGGGGAAACTAAAGGTAATACAAATGGAAAATGATGCTAAAAACTTGCTGAATAGAGAAAAAGATCTTCAACTGTTGATGTAAAAATGTTTTCTGGAATGAAAATAAAGTGCATTGCAAAACATGCATACCCAGCAGAAAGCAGTTGTGCTCTGTAATACTGAGACTCCTTTGAAGGCTTTAAGAACCACATGCTAAAGACTCACCAGTCCCAAACTGTATCAGTATCATTCAGGTTTAATTTTACTTATCTTTGTGACTCAGAATGGGCCTTACCAGAGTCATCAACAACCCACAGTGACCTTTCAGTGAGCTCTGCTGTGACAGGGACAGGCATCAAGGGGGCACAGTACAGAATGTTCATGAATGCATGAACAACCAAAAGAACAGAACAAAAGTTGGAGGCTGTTTCCTCTTCCCTGAATGAATTCCCATCAGTGCAGACCAGAGTGTCTGCTAAACATCCAGCACAGCCTGCTGAGGGTTATAGGAATTTAGTCACTCAGTTTGCACCCACTACAGCTGCCTGGCCAAGGGCACAGTGCTGGAGGGAGGGATGCTCCAGCTCCTGCCTGGAAATAGCAACAAGTGGTGAAGTTTTCAGGGAAAAATGAAATAAAAAAAGCAGTGAGCAGTCACTTTGGAAATCATCAACTCCACAGCTAATTCCTCACAGGTTCCCAGTGTGATCACAACAGAAGCACATGATAGAACTGTGTAATTATCTGCTTTTCCTGGGAAACCTACAAAACCACACAAGATAATTTCTCATTATTTTGGTCTCATCTAATCAAAAGCTCAGTGGGTTATGTACAAGCAAGAAAAGTGGTTTATACACAAGTAAGAAAAGCAAGACTATTTGTCTGTAGTTAAGACTTTCTAGGGAGGTTAATATGCACAGCTCAAATAGATAACAGAATCATGTAATGGTTTGGGTTGAAAGAACCTTAAAGCTCATCTCATCCCACCCCCTGCCATGGGCAGGGACACATTCCACCAGCCCAGGTTGCTCCAAGCCCCATCCAACCTGGCCTTGAAGACTTCCAGGGATGGGACAGCCACAACTTCTCTGAGCAACCTGTGCCAGTGCCTCAACACCCTCACAGGGAAAATTTCTTCCTAACTGTAGAATCCCAGAGTGGCTTGGGTGGGGAAGGAGCTTAAAGATCATCTAGTTCACCCGCTGCCATGGGCAGGGACACCTTCCACTAGGTTCCTCCAAGCCCCATCCAACCTGGCCTGGAACAATTCCAGGGATGGAGCAGCCACAGCTTCTCTGGGCAACCTGTGCCAGTGCCTCAGCACCCTTACAGGGAAGGATTCCTTCCCAATATCCTATCAATCCCTGCCCTTGGCAGTGGGAAGCCATTCCCTGTGTCCTGTCCCTCCAGACCCTTGTAAATAATCTCTCTCCATCTTTCTTGTTGACTTCTTCAGGCACTGCAAGGCCACAGTTAAGTCACCTCAAAGCTTCTCTTCTCCAGGCTGAACAATCTCAAATCTCTCAGCCTTTCCTCACAGC